AATAAAATACAGGGTGATTGAAAAGTAACTCCCTATTTTATGTATGAGTGGCCAACCATAAGTCCTGATATAACAATCTGTGACTTTTTTTTTCTTTGGAATTGGTTAAAGAAGCAAGTCTATTATACCAAACCAAGACTTTGGAAGAACTTGAAGGGTGAATACAAGAAGTTATGTCTTCCATACCAGAAGAGTTCCTGGTAAAATCAGTTGACGCAATTCCTTGACGACTTGAGAAGCTGGTAGCGAAATCTGGTGCCCATATCGAATTTGAAATATAACCTCATGCTAAACGCTTTCCTCTTATATCTATTTCTTGTAAAAAATTATAGTTATTAAATAAATTATTAAGTATTTTAAAATAGGGATTTACTTTTCAATCACCCTGTATATATAATTTTTTTAAGTGTTGACTCTTCATGTTATATATATATATATATATATATATATATATATATATATATATATATATATATATTTTTGTGTGTGTGTTTGGGGTGTCTGGGTTGCGTGAGTCTGTGTGTCTGTCTATGTGTGTGTATGTGTGAAATGAAAATGAATCGAATATAAATTCCAACGTTCGTAACATTATTTTTTAAAGAGGACACAATCGAATCCAATAGTAGACCAATATTCTTAATTACAGGATATTACTTTCACAGATGTAAAATAACACAACATAAATGCAATCATGTTTCAATGTGTATCAACACATCTCATCAGGAGTTAGTCTAACCAGTATTTAATAACTCCTGATGAGATGTGTTGATACACATCTAAACAATTGCATTTATGTAGCGTTATTTTATATGTTTGATAAATATCTAATAATAAAGTCAATATATATATATATGTGTGTGTGTATCATTAATATATAACATTAGTCACATCAAAAAACACACAGAAGCATAAACATAAGCATATATATATATATATATATATATATATATATATATATATATATATATAAAAAAAAAAACTTAAACACTAATATTCCATGGTCATAATTTATTCCATTGGAATCGTAAATACGATCCAATTCATCAGACCTACAAATTCAAAAATTCGATGTATGTATATTTTCCACTAATATTATCTATCTATCTATCTATCTATCTATCTATCTATATATATATATATATATATATATATATATATATTATGACAAAGTCCGAAAATTATTTTTTAAGACATTTTTTATGTTTATACGTTCTTTTTATAGATAAAAAATATTTCAGTAAATGCTCTGTTTATAATGAACAGTATTAACAAAATTTACCGGCCTGAACTGAAGGACGCATATTTTCTATGAAAATTTCTCAGACATTCAGGCCAGTAAATGTTGATAATACTGTTTATTATAAACAGAGCATTTGCTTAAATATTTGTATCTATAAAAAGAACGTATAAACATAAAAAACTCTCTTAATGTATATATATGTGTTTGGGGGGAGAGAGAGAGAGTCAGCTTCAGCACTATATACCTAATGCATGTTCTCTCCTACGCTAATATATATCCAGATAGTTACCCTCTACATTGAGTGTCTCTCTGGTTTTGAATTGCGTGAACATTAGTAAAAAAATAACCCCAAAACTTACTTTTATTAGGCATTAAATTACGTCGATTAGCATCCTCGATAATTCACTTAGACTTTTCATTCATCCTGATGAATATTTATGAACGTCTCTTAAATTTAAAAATTTTGAAAAAATTAAAAACATTTTTACTTTTATTTATAAATACTTGCTGCAAAATAATATCACCACATTTACCTTCATAAAGTCTGTCAGTTGTCAAAAACGCGTCAGTTTTTCCTTTTTATCTATTCATACATATATATATATATATATATATATATATATATATATATATATATATATATATATATATATATATATATATATATATATATATATATATAGGCACGATATAGTGGATAGCGGCTCCGGTTGAGGAATCAGGGAGCCGGTTCAATTCCAGTCGAATCCATTACATTCCCTTAAGTGCTAATAATTACCCTTGGAAACATATGAATCCTCTTATTCTCCCTCCATCTATGGGTTAATTGCAGGACAGAGTGGGTATATGGCAACTGGATGGCAATTAGTCTAGGAGAAGGACAACTCTGAATTCAAAACCAGCGGAGGGTCGTTTGGGGACCTTGTGGAACCGCCCTTCAAAAAGATTGGTTGTTTGTGCCTCCACCACTATAATCAAATCATATGTGCAGTCGGTTCCTAGGAACTGAGCAGCATGACCCTCATAAGTCGAATACGACGGTAGAGTCTACTATATATATAAATACACATATATTTATATATATATATATATATATATATATATATATATATATATATATATATATATATATATATATATATATATATATATATATATATATATATATATATATATATATATTGTAGACTCTGTCTGTGTGTTTGTTATTGAACTGCATCTAGTATTTGGAGTCCCCCAAGGCCATATATATTCTGAAACTAGGTTATCTAATGTACTTTGATAAGTATATTTCATTTTGATCAAAGGGCTTTCCGGATAGGGTGGAGGCGAAGGTGCAAAACCTCCCCACTTTTTTCCCCTTTGATTTAAATTCAATTTTATAGGAAAAAGGGATTGACTCCTATCGAAGATATAGAAGGAGAAAGATAGAAATTCGGGAAATTTTCATTCCTGTAGTTAAATGTCATTAATACTGTTTGAACAAAAAACGGAGCATTTACTTAAATAAATTATATCTATAAAATAACATCTAAACAGAAAATATATTAACTAATTGTCGAACTTAATCCGTTTCATAATATGTTGTTATTGTTTACATTACGGCATATTTTGTGAGCTGAAATGTTTGATCGAGAAAAATCATCGAACGTGTATCCTTATAAACAGTAATTCGGACTTTGGTATCCAGGGGCTTCTTTGTGGCTGAATGTTTAACACCACGTCGGATCAAAGGACGGTTCCCATCAGGGTTACAGAGGCTGCATATTTTCTACGAAATTTCTCAAACATTCAGGCTGGTAAGTGTAATTAATACTGTTTAATTAAAAAAAAACAGATCATTTAAATTGTATTTATAAAAGTAACGTTTAAACATGTATATATGTATTCAAATAAATATATTGTCATCCATCCACAGACAGACAGTTTGGCTGTATCACAGCTCTTCAGACGTCCAGTTGTCTCTAACGAGGATGGAATTGGCCCCAGATGGAGATTCTTCCACTAAGTTGTCGGCGTTCGGCAGGGACGAAGGATAATTTTAGCGTATTTATTTATTTATTTATTTAGATAAAAACACAGTGACTGAGAGGACTCGATTCGCTTTACCGAATAGTCTTGCTATAATAGCTGTAATAGTCACTGTTTACAAACCCACACTTCCTCCCCCAGAGTCTTTCTATATATATATATATATATATATATATATATATATATATATATATTTATGCATCTCTTTGAAATATCTCAAGAAGGTTACCTAAATATGATATAAATAGGCTAAATAGTGTCGTGTCGTCTTCTTTGTTTTGCAAATTACACCCCAACTGACACTTCAAATATCTATCACATCTTGGCTTAAGGACAAATGTCCAAAGGTTATTGAGAGATACCAATCCTTGACGATTTGATTTTTAGCCATAAAATCCGGTGCGAAAACGTGAAGAAATGGTAAGCGTATTGTATTCTGGCTCACTCAGTGACACCCTCATTCCAACAGGGTAACACCATGCGAGTGTGTCTGGGAACACATAAGCAGTAACCTTCCAATGTGTTACATTACATCTAGGTAGCACAATGAGTTCCAGAGATATTTAAAACGTCTAGATATTTTTGTCGTACCCTTATAGATAAAATATATATATATATATATATATATATATATATATATATATATATATATATTAAAAAAAAAAACAGACCACTTTTAAGGTTCCATTATAATAATTCATTTCACCAGAGCCCTTTTAATATATATATATATATATATATATATATATATATATATATATATATATATATATATATAAATTTAACACTGAAGAAACTGCATGTAACAAAAAAATGCTGGTGAGAAAAGAATGTTGGGGGGAATGCAATGATTTACAACTAGTTTAGATTTACAAAGAGATAGGAAGCTATAGAGAGCCATGATCGCTCAATTCTTGAAGGTTCACGACACATATTTTAATGAAGAAATCACTTTTATATCTTTTATGTTTCAGGCTTACGTGAGCAATATAATCCTCTTTCTATCCATTGTATTTCAATATACACTAAATTTAAATTTAGTCTTTCTATATATATATATATATATATATATATATCAATTTAAATCATAGATAATAGAAAAACGAATAGTCTCTTCACTGTACCTGCCGTTATATTCAATTTACAGTCACAATACGGCTAAGAGAAATTTTAAAATCTTGGACATATAGTCCATGGTCAATTTTCCATGACCCTCTTTGATAGCAGTCTTGCGAGTATTGATTTTGGGATATGAGAATTGGTTCATCCGAAATGCTCCACGTCGCTTAGTTCAACTTCTGGGCTGAGAAGCAGACAAAATGTGACTGGCTATAAATCGACAAAGGGGTTGCAAGGTGGAAAATAATTCATCACTCACAAGGCCACGCAGATGCTTTTAAACTTAAGATTGGGTTGCTCCAACACAGATATGAACACAATACCACATTTTTTGTTTGATCTGACTTGTTTAATGAGGTCTCAGGTGCAAAGCGGTGACCGTTTTCCAACATATTAACAATTAACGTTATCATGGCTTGGAGTGGAAGATATATTCTCTATTCAACAGGCTCTTTCTCACAGGCATAACGTTGATAGCCTATCGCTATTCTATCACCATTTCCATGCCAAATGTTCAATGAGCTCTTCAGAATTCAAAAGATATCATCCTTATTCTCGTAATCTTCCATCAACTGACACTTATATTCTATTACACAGATCATTTAGTCACCCTGTAGCATAGATAGATAAATAGATAGATATGAAAAGAAAAGACAGATAAGAATATAATAAGATAGATAGATAGATAGATAGATAGATAGATAGATATAGATAGATAATGAAGAGACTGAGATAGATAGATAGATAGATAGATAGATAGATAGATAGATAATGATAGATGAATGATAATAATGAAGAGACTGAGATAGATAGATAGATAGAATGAATAGATAGATAGATATGATAATAATGAAGAGACTGAGATAGATAGATAGATAGATAGATAGATAGATAGATAGATAGATAGATAGATAATTAAGAGACTGAGAGCCATTTACAACCATGAAAATATATCTATTTAAAAAAGAAATGATTCAGAATACTAATTTCAGTATTATTTCAGGATGACTGTATAAAAATCGTCTTAATACGAAAGTCTGTTTTTACGGTCATCTTGATTGTTTCTCTAAGTTTTATTAAAATTAAAAGATATAATTAAATTTTATGAAGCAATAAAAAACAGGGACATGGGAGGATATATAATCGGAGTAGGTATTTTGCATATATATATATATATATATATATATATATATATATATATATATATATATATATATATATATATATATATAGGGAAAATATAAATAACTAGAAAATATATATATATAATATATATTATATATATATATATATATATATATATATATACACTGTATAGATTCAAATTAATATTTACCAAGAGAAATGGCTAAATATAGTGCTCAATACAATTTCCAAAAACGAGAATTTAGAGCAATACACACACACACACACACACATATATATATATATATATATATATATATATATATATATATATATATATATATATATATATAATATGCTGAAGAATACAAAATATCCCCCAGGAGCAATATATTTTATTTAATTTTGTTGTTTTCCAACATGTACTTTTTTATTGATGGTTCAATATATATATATATATATATATATATATATATATATATATAGAGAGAGAGAGAGAGAGAGAGAGAGAGAGGGACAGGAGAGACAGAGATAGATAGATGGATGGATAGATAGATAGATAGATAATGACGAGACTGAGATAGATAGATAGATAGATAGATAGATAGATAGATAGATAGATAGATAGATAGATAGATTTTGAAGATTCTGGAATAATGTCAGCTAACTTTTCGATACAACAAGTATATAGCCAGAGAACAATAAACAGAAGTGTAAGTCTATATGCATTTTTGTATCCAGAAAAAAAAAGAAGGCGTGTGAAGGTTTTTCTCATTGATCCGTTGTATCCACTTCACAATAGAGAGAGGAAACCTTGAAGCCAAACGCCAACAAAGTGTTGAAACATTTCGAAAATCAAACATCCCTCCCTAAGGTGGTGCAATTTTCCAGTATTTCCAACAAAACAACACAAAGCCCTTGTCAACAGGGCCTGTCGACGAACGGAAGTAACGCACGTCATGGACTTATGTGAGTTGATTAGCCCATGAAGATATCCAGCCTTGAGCCATGCTGTTTATTTGTGTGGTGGTTGCTGATAGGAAGTAGCTCATCGTCAAAATAAATGTAAAGTTTGTCTTTGTTTAATTTTTTGTTGTAAAGAAAGCGTAAGGTTTGCATACTCTTGCACGATTTAAAGTGAGGTGATCATGAGATTTCTCAAGTTGATAAAAATACAGGCAGTTATGTGCCATACGGGATACACGCTTAGGTGATGATGTATCTGTCGATACATGACTGACGAGGCAGATTTTTCTTGCAGTAGGTTGCTATTTCTTTCTGCGGTAAACCCGTGGCCATCCAAGGCTATAGAACCCGGTCTGTCCTACTATTTACCGATAGCAGTAGGGGAGAATTAGGGGATATTTCCTTTTCCCAAGGTTATTGGCACGTAAGTGAATGTAATGGATTCGACTGGAATTTGAACAAGGCTCTCCGATTCCTCAATCCGAGTCGCTATCCATTACTCCACCGTACAAACTCTCTAATGAATTTTGGGAAAAAGAAAAATATATATATATATATATATATATATATATATATATATATATATATATATATATATATATATATATATATATATATTATATATGTATATATATATATATATATATATATATATATATATATATATATATATATATATATATATATATATATATATATGATATTCAACTTTCCAATGAGTACAGCATATATATATAGTATATAAATATATATATATATATATATTTATTTATTTATATCTATACATACATATTTCACACACACAAACACATATATACATATATATATTTTGATTCCAGTATATATGTTAGCTCTATCTCTGATAATGAGCGCTTTCTGATAAGTACCGCATATAATATATAAATAATTATACATATATATATTTATTTATATTTATATACACTTTTCACATACACACACACACACACACATATATATATATATATATATATATATATATATATATATATATATATATATATATATATATATATATCACCAAGACTGTTAAATAAAATTACAAAGTCTTGGAACAAAGAGGATGCTCCTAAAGGTAATCTCCATTTGCTCGGCTTCTAGTTTCTATGTGCCGTGTCTTATCGGGCCGTACTCGATCATGTTTCTCCTCCCCCCCTATCCCTCGAAGTTCTCAACAAGTTCCGACCGTCTGCCACCTCGCCCAGGCCATGTTAAATCATCCAGTTGCTTAAGCCCGCTCGCTATGTCATGGGTTGTTTTCCCTTGTCTCTCTTTCATTCTATTCGACTCGTGAGTATCAGATTCTCCAGGACCTCCTTCCTCATTACATGTAGCAGAAAACCCAGCTGCCTCTTCCTGGTGTTAATATATGCCTCCTCCTTGTCTGCACCTTCTGTAAGACCTCATCGTTGCTCACACGATATCCTCAGCATCCTTCTGTAGAACCACATCTCCGTCATCTCGAGTCTCTTCATTATCTTTGAGACCGTCAAACATTCTCTGTCGTAAAGGAGTACAGATGTCCCATAACAGATCAGATCTCTTTTCTTTGTTACCAAAGAAATCCTTCTGTCTCGCAATACTCTCTCCAGCTTTTGGAATGGGTCCTTGGCCATCCCAATACGTCTACAGATCTCAATGTCGCACTTACCGTCCTCTGTCAAAATGCTTCCTAGATATTTAAACTTCAGCACCTGCTTCATTTTAGTGTTCCCGACTTGCAAATCGTATTTCGGGCTCATCATTTTAATGATGACCATGCAGTCAGTTAGACATTTTCTAAAAGTATACACATATATAAATACATAGATTCATCATTTCTAAAAAATTCAGTGATTTCATGATTTTTTTAATTATTGATTTTCTTAATATATATATATATATATATATATATATATATATATATATATATATATATATATAAGTTATGAAAAACTTGGTAATCCGTATGAGTAATCCCAAGGAGGATGAAATCCTGAGAGCCAATGTAAATCCAGAGCTAATATTTTAAAGAAATCAGACCACCTTAAGGTGCCATTATAATAATTTAATCTGTTTTTTCTTTAATATATATATATATATATATATATATATATATATATATATATATATATATATATATACTTTCCATACATATAGATAATAATAAATGTCAGTATAATAGATTGAATAAATTTGTTTCCTACGTTATTGAGCAAATCTATTATTATTATTATTATTATTATTATTATTATTATTATGATTATTATTATTATTATTGCTGTTGTATTGTCATTATATTTCGATTTCTGCTATGGTCACATTACCTACCAAGTCTGCGGGAAGACCTAAGGCAGGTAGTGGTGTGTTCTTATGGCTTCCTTTCATGATTTGTTTTTCTATCTCTCATAACATCATCAGCTTTACATGGAAAATGTTCTTATAAAGACAATTTGTTGTATTTCTCTTAAGCAGGTATTTCCAGACATTTTTTTCAATATATTGTTGTGTACCTTTTTTTAATTTCATTATCATCATTATTATCATTATTATTATTATTATTATTATTATTATTATTGGTTTATCTCCTGATATCAATTTCTATAATTACCGTTATCTCCCAGTGCTACTCTGGTCGACCGATCTAATGCGAAAGAGTCTTTGTTATTGATATTTGATAGCAT